TGGTTTTGGGACATGGCAGATTTTGCTGGTATTTTATTGCAGAAGGTTTGTTCTTCGTGTTCGCGAAGATTGTCCGGCGTTCGCGAAGAAGAGCTTGTCCTAGGGGAGAAAATGATCTTCACGTTCGCGAGAAAGGGGACGCGTTCGCATAGGTTTGGACTCCAGTGAATCGCGAACGCGTGAGAGGCGTCACGTTCACGTAGGGAAGTTGGAGCAGCTGGGACCCTAGGAGTTTGCTCATCGCGTTCGCGTAGGAAGGGACATGCTCGTGAAGGCTTTGGCAGTTGAAGCTTCGTGTTCGCGAGAAGGATCCCGCTTCCACAAAAGAGGAAAAGCGTGCAGTTGAGTTTTGTTCTACGCGAACGCAAGGAGGTGGTCGCGTTCGCGATGAAGGACACATCTGGGCAGAATGTTTAAGTTCAAAAACGAGGGTTTTAGTCCATATTTTCAAAATTCATTAGAGAGCTTGGGAGAAAGGCTAATTTAGAGGGGATTTTTAGAAGAGGTGATCGGGGTAAATGTTCTTCACTTGTTTTTGGTTAAATTCCATGATTATGTCTTGATTCTTATCATTTAATTTGGGAATTTGGGGTGAAAATTGGGGAAAATGGAAGAAAATTTGGAGAGTGGATTTTTGGGATTTGGATGGCCATTTGACGCCGGATTTTGGTGAATTTGATATGGATATACTCGTGGGAGGATAAGGATTCTAGTGACGTGATTTTTATCAAATTTTGAGATGTGGCTGCACGCCGCAGCGATATAGCACTTGGGTTGTATGAGCCCCTCCAGAGTCTGTACACTCCTAGTGAGCACAGTCGACTATATATCTATGGATCGGGCTGCACGCCGCAACATTTGTTATGAGACACCTATTGAGCGTGAGTGCTAAGTGTGAGTGTTGAGTGTGAAAGTTGAGTCCGAGTGATTGAGAGGCTTGCCCGAGGGGCTATATATATGAGTGATACTTCGCCCGAAAGGCTTGTGTTACGAAAATACTGGTTTTCACTCTTTTTTATATTGAGCCTCTATTGGAAATGATGAATAAATGTTTTAATAACTTTTCATTGAAACTGGAGTTTTAATTGGTTGTTCAGAATTTATCTACTGATTTGATCTGACTATTTTCTCTGAGATTTTTATGTTATAATATACTTATGTTTTTTAAATGCTCGTCACTGCACTCAGCCTTTATTTATAATTGTTACTTACTAAGTTGGCGTACTCACGTTACTCCATGCACCTTGTGTGCAGATCCAGGTGCTAGAGCATCCGAGTGAGAGTTGTCTCTTTCCTTCAGGGCATTTCGGAGATTGCGAGGTAGCTACATGGCGTCCGCAGCCCTGCCTTTCTCCTTCATATCTTCAGTATTACACATTTCAGTCTTTTTGAGTAGACAGTATCAGACTATAGTATAGTGGCTCATGACTAGTAACACCGGGATCGAGTAGTGTTGATGTTTTTTTTGTTTACTTGTTTCCGCTTATTTTGACACATTAAAACGAAAGATTTGTGATCATATATGATTAGTTAATGAGTTAAGAAGAAGACCTTGATGTGTTAAGTGTTGAATCGGCTGGCCTAGTTCTGCGATAGGCGCCATCACGACTGGGGTGGTATGGGGTAGTGACATGTATTTGCACCTTCCGTTGTTAAACTTTAGGATATCATGTCCTTAACTTCATATGTATAGTGTAAATGTTAAAGACATGGCGTCCTTAACTTCATGTATGTCGTGTAAATATTAAGGACACCATGTCCTTAATATTTACACAGTACTCATGAAGAAAGGATAAAAACTTCTTTTCGTATTAATTTTAATAGAGTAGTGGCTATTTTTGCCCAGCATTAAAATTATTGGATAAAAACTAAATATCATGTTAAAAAGTGGCTATCCCATGCTATTTCAACTTTAATTACTTGTTGGCTTGTAACTATTTCATAATTCCAAGGCCCAAGAAAAAATTTAACGCTTTATTATTTTTAAACTTAATATATAAATATATTGTTCATATTATAAATCTATTCGGTACGATTCGGTATTTTTTCGGTTTATTTTCATAAAATAAAAAACCTACCCTAATTATTGTTACGGAGATTTATATAAATATTAAAAGAAACCTAAAATTTTGTTCGATGCGATACGGTTCAGTCGATTTTTAAATATCCATTGACACCCCTCCCTAGTTACATATATCTCTCTTTGTTCCATTTGAAATTGCTCCTTTTGTATTAAACTTTTCTATTTTATTTACAACGAAAAAAGGTTAAAAATGCTCCTAAACTATTAAAAAAGGTTTAAAAATACCCTTCATCCACCTATTGGGCTAAAAATATTCCTTCATCCACTTTTTTGGTTCACTTATGCCCTTTGACTGATAGGTCAATGCTGAATTAAGAATAATATTATTCTTGAACTTAAAAATAAATATTTTGCAAAATATTTTCGCTTTTTTTAAAAACTAATGCACCAGTCGTGCACTAATTTAGTAAAGTCTTTTTTATTTTTTTTCAGTTTTTACAAAAACGTATTTTGTTTTCATATTTTCAGTTTTTAAGCATTTTTTTGTAAAAGAGGAAAAAATTGTAAAAACTGAATTTTTTTTGTAAAAACTGATTTTTTTTTTGTAAAAACAGAAAAAAGATGCTTTTAACAAAATATTTTTGTTTTCTAAAAACTGAAAAAAATATATTCAACAAAATATTTTCGATTCTGAAAAATATTTTTTTTTAGTTTTTTTAAAGCATTTTTTTTGTAAAAACTGGAAAACAAATTTGTAAAAACTGAAAAAAAAAAATAGGGGTCGGGTTGTGGGTTTTTTTTTAAAACGGGTCGGGTAAAAAAAATAGGTCATTTTAATCTGGTGCTGCCACGTGGCACTCCATCCAAAATAGGAGTATTTTTGTTCCAAAGTATGACAGTAGGGGTATAGATAACTCAGAGTTAGATGGAAGTGGCTTGTCTTTTTTTGTAGTTGAACTTTTTATTCGAGTCGGGTCAATCTTTGGGACGGGTTAGTCCGAAAAACGGTTAGATATGGGTTAGTCTTTCTAATAGGTTAGATGTCTTAATTTCGACCAATAAGAAGTTGCTACGTGGAATTTATATAATAATTATTTTTAATTCAACATTGACCTAACAGTCAAAGGGTATAAGTGAACCAAAAAGGTGGATGTAGGGGTATTTTTAGCCCAATAGATAGATGAAAGATATTTTTAAATCTTTTCCAATAATTTAGGAGCATTTTTAACCCTTTTCCGTATTTACAAATATTTAGGAGAAATTTCTTACGATCTATCAACATCACATACTCATAATTGTTAGAAAGCGGACTGGAATGGATCTATATTGACATCCCTAATATAATGTCAATCTAACCATGCTCAATAGAGGATCAAGTACGAACTTACACATACAAAAATATCTCAAAGTGTTATGTCTACTTCCCTCATTTGAAAATATGAAAAAATAAAAGGATGGTTAGTAGTTGGCCTAATTGCTAGCGGTGGTTAGGCATTTAATATGTACACTTAAATTTTTGTTGTATCTCTTTCAAAATTTAAAAAGTTATCCTTTTCAAATAAATATGTAGCTAAACTTGGTCAAGATGAAAGGTACCACTTGAGATTATTGTTGAATCTGTCTTATGAGTCTTTTGTGTAAAGAGTAAAGACTTAATAATTACTGTTAATAGAGTAATGTGCTCAAAGAAGTTGCAAAAGATAAAAGAAAGCTATTATATATGATTAAATAATAATATTTCATAATGCTTACGTGAGACAATCTTTTTTAAAATGTCATCAGCTGTTCGAAATTAGACAAACTAAAAAATAATTTTCTTTTACATACAAGTTAGCTAGAAGAAAATGCTCCATCATGTCATTGGGCAACTTAGATCCATCAAATATTTATGTAATATCATAAAGATGATATGTAAAGGTTTTGACTATGACATTGTATATGCAGAAATCATGTTAGTCTAATGTGCTTCGAAGCATATACCTATGCCGAGTTCAACTTTTTCCACAAGAAATCAATAATATCCTTTAAATTCATCCGAAAATATTTTTTAGTATGCCTGTGTTTTGGATTATATTTCTTATAATATATTTTCTCATAAGAAATTATAATAGTTCACAAGAGATATCAATATAACACTTAACAATAGCTATAGTCATGAGAGAGTAGTCAAAGCGGCACAAAAAATATCACCAACAAATTAAATAAGTAGGAATATTAGGTATTATAAGACCCTATAATATACCCCTAAACACATTACATATTTTAATCTATAATACAAAACTATCGAACTAATTTAACTAAATGGGTGATTGCAGATTCAAACGATATTTAATTGTTTTGAGTTTAATTATTATAATATAATAATATTAATTTTTAATATTTAAAAGACTTGTATGTGTTCATGTCAATTGATTTACAGCAATACTTTTTTCTTATACATAATTTTTTGAGTCCGTCGCATTTTGCACCCCTAATGTGTATTCTTTTTTGTGATTTGCACCCTGTCCTATGTTTTTTTACAATTTCAACCCTAACCTCTTTATTCCCTTGCAAAACAATAAAATCACCATTTATATAAATTTTTCATGAGGGAAAAATAGGAAATACAAATAATATGTTTTTTTTTTTCCTTAAGTTATGTTTTTAGGGTAGGACGTTAATTCTAGCGAAACTCTTCCCGCCATCACCATTGCATCGTGGGAGACTAGGTTAAGCTCTCCAAGCATAAAACGCGCTGAAGGATTACCGAGAACAAATAGCACATCCAGTATATCATCAATGGATAAGAGCAAGGAGAAATAGAAAAGTCGATTGAAGAAGGAGAAGTTGAAAGGTAACAAGTTCGGAGTCTATCTGTAAAAGTCGTAAGATGCAATCCATCTTTAACATGTTCTTGTCCCATCCTCTATCTGCTATTGTTTTTTTTTATTTATTTAAAAATAAATCACAAAACTCAACTCACTACAACAATGCACCAGACAGAAAGGTTTGCAAATCTATCCAAATTTCAAACAACTCTGAATACTATCATGTAAATCAATAAAGAAAGATCAATTCATTTAAGTTCATACTCTACTTTGGATAAAACATGCTTTATTGAAAAGCTACGAATGCTTCTCTCCAATTCAATAAAGCATAATAAAAAATAGGCTAATCTAAACCATGAATAAATAATATCCTCTGTTTGGAACAAATTGGACATCAATCCCCAAGGCATCAAATATCATTCCTCTATCTTTCTTTGCCAACTCTCCTATGTGATCCCTCATGTGCTTCAACAAGTGCATTCTGCAGAAAAACAATATCCTTGTTCAAGACTTGATATTTAATGGAATTATGCTATTCAGATTTACTAAAAACAAGCGATGTTACCTTGTGTCAAAAGTAGTTCTTCAGTCTATATTCTTTTTTATCTAATCTAGAAATTGAGCTAGCTTAAACCTTGCATTGTCACAGGTATGGATGATGAGCTTTTTACATTGAAGATTCATCATGGAGGTGAATTTTTAGATGTACCTGAGAGAATTTATTTGGGAGGCAAAATAGATTTTATTGATAAGTGTGATCCACATAAATGGTCATTGCAAACCTTAGAATGGATTGGAACAACGAGATTAGGATACAACAATATTCTTGGTTGGCACTTTAAACTACCCATGACTAATACTGGTAATGGTTATATTCAATGCTTGACTAATGTTGATTGTGATCTAATGGTAAAAACACTTCCAGCTAATAGAGTTGCTGAAGTATACATTACACATGCTGGTAATGTATCAAAAATACAAAATCAAGTGAGCCCCAATGCTAATTATATTTGTGAGGATAATGGGGTGCTAATAGACTTGGAGGCATCGAAGGATGGTGCATATAATCATATCTTCAACTCTGCAGAGGTAAGTACTAACGTAGATGACTTCAAATTGGAAAGAGCAAATTATGGTGGGGATAAAAATAGTGATGTATACCAAGAATTGGAGCATTTTGAAGGTGATGAATATCATATAAATGAAAGTGAAGAAGAGTCGAATGGTTTGGAGATAGATTCAGGCAGTGAATGGCTTGGAATTTGGGATAATATTGGAAAGGATAAGGCAACAATGAAGCCGAAAGAAAAGGAAATAATGAAAGGAAGCGAGGATAAAAAGAAAAATCTAGCAGGAAATGGCGAAGTTAGTGTAAAGGGGAGGAAAGAGAGGAAGGAAAAAAAGAAAGATAAAGTGATGGAGAAAACTAAGAGTGCCAATTTTGCCGGGTTACTACTGGAGGACTCAAGTACAGAATCTGAAAATGATAACATCTCTCCTAAGTATGATTCAGATGACATGTGGGAACCTACTGATCTACTTGACGTTAACCCTCCTAATTATGAGCCAAAGAAAAGTAAGTTAAACAAAAATAAAAGAAAAAAGCCCGATGAAATTGAAGCCTCCAAGAGAAAAGCAGTTGAGATGAAAAAACAGAGAAGAGAGAAAAAGAAAAAACAAATTGCAACAAGTGAAATGCATGATGCTACCAAATTGAGTAAGAAAGGGAAGTTGGGGAGGTGTAGCAAGTGCTTACAAACTGGTCACAACAAAACAACTTGCAAGAAGAGTAGTAATTCCCCAAATTCAACAACTCTACCTCAAGCTACTCAAACAACTCAAGATTGGTGTCAAAATGCGACAAGTCAATCCCACCCAAGTAAACAAATCAATTTTGAGTCCACTTATTGGACTGGACATATAAATGAACCTTCTAAACTCAATGTAAGTATGGGACCTTAAATATAAGTGATTTAGTACTTTTAGAGATAGGTAGTACATTTGCGTTCTTTATTTTTTTTCACAGCCAAGAAGGCCAACGGAGGATGATTCAAATAGAAGCCAAGAAAAAGAGTTTTGATGTGGAAGAAAATAGAAGCAATTAGCATATGAAATTGTCAGCAAGAACAAATTTAATTTCATCACGACTTCTTTTGCTGTTTAATGGATATATCATTTATTCCTAAGAGATTCTCAATGTCAAGTTTATCATTTACCTTTACAATTTAATTTTAGTATTTGTACTCTTCGAAGCCTTTTGACTTATCTTTATTGCTTAACTATATACACCCTTATCCTATTTTCATCTCAATCAGAGAGGAACACGATCATTACACAAGAATTTACAGCAATAAAGAATAGTGCTATATTAAGTAATAGCGATTAGCAAAAACTACATTACACACGAGCTCATATACATATACATTTACATTTCGAAAAATACTAGCATCAATCTCAAACTACTGGGCTATATTTATCTTTCAATACAAAACAGAGATTCTCTGATGACTGTCCCAATTTTATTTTATTTTTTTGCAAAAGAATAGACAGTAAAAAAGACGAACTAGCTGAATATAGAAAAACTGACCTCCGAAATGGATCCACCAGGAACGACGTGAAGAAGTAAACGGCGAAGGCTTTAACAAGGTGAAATCAGAGAAAATATGGGGCGTTTTGGAAGATTAAGCTTATAAAGATCGACGAGATGCATAAATCTTAACACCATTTCTGTTAAAGAGATATGGAAATACATCTTGGTCCCTTGAGAAAATGACTGATTTATTGAGCTTGTCCATTTTAGGCGAGGTGAAAGGAAAGAGAAGATAATTGTGACTGATCATTTGCTTTGGTCTTGAGCTTGTCGATATGCTCTAGGTGATGAAGCAAAGAGAAGATTAGTATGACTATTGACTGGTCTTTGCTTTTTGGTAACCAAACCAACTCCTTTTTATTTAATCTCTCTTTATTTATTTTATGTCATTATTTTATTTATTTTTTATTTGCATTTCCTATTTTGCCCTCATGAAAAATTTATATAAATGGTGGTTTTATTGTTTTGCAAGGGAATAAAGAGGTTAGGGTTGAAATTGTAAAAAAACATAGGACAGGGTGCAAATCACAAAAAAGATGCACATTAGGGGTGCAAAATGCGAGGGATTCTAATTTTTTAATAATTTTAAGTTTTACTCTTTTATGTAAACAATTAACTGAACATCTACGTACATACCATCTGTTTGCAACACATACGCGTGGATAGTAACTCTTCCAACCATTAAAATGATTATGCAATTCAAGGACATGGAATTGGTGATATGGAATGGTTGTAAATACGGTACTTTTTATTATTTACAAAGAAAGAGAGAATTTAAACAAAGAAATTACATACTTTATCTTTTAAAAATGACCGACCCGACCCGACTAGAGTGTGAAGATGGTATGGCCCAAAAGCCCTTCCCTCCAAAGTAGAATCCCCAGCTTTTGCCTGGACACAGCTTCGATAATTATTACTCTCGTTACTCGGTGAATAAACGAAGAACCAAAGCCAAAACCAGAACTTCTCTTTGCGGCGAAAATGGCGAACGCGGAAGAGGCAGTGGATTTCGAGCCAGAGGAAGACGATCTGATGGACGAAGACGTTGACGCTTCGTCGCCTAGGGCTTCCATTCCTAAGCTTAAATCAGCCATTACTGGCGGCGGCTCTTCTGCTTCTAAAAAAACCAAAGGTCGTGGTTTCCGTGAAGAAGCTGCTGAGGCTGAACGCAATGCTCGCCTCTCTGCTCGATTTGATTCTCTCGACACCGATGGTGGCCCTGGACCTGAACGCTGTTAGTTTCCCCTTTCCTAATCTTTTATCTAACACTAACAAAATTACTACTTACACTTTTCTGTCTTTTGTTTAAATTTTTTATCCAAGTAAAGGGAAACTGTTGTAGGTTGATAATTCGTCTAATGTAATGAATAAGATTTTGTTTTTTAGTTTGGCTAGGGACTTGTATTTAGGGAACTTCTAGTACTAGGAAGTTTATAATTTCAACAGGTAGAAGGTTCTATATGGGTGTAATTTTGTTCTATGGTTAGGATTTTGTGTCCGGAGGTTGACAGTCCGGGTAATGTAAAAATCCTTTGAGGAGACGTTTTAGCCTGGTTAAAGACTTGTATTTAGAGAATCACTAGGTTTAGAATACCCTAATTTTACACTGGACTTAGTTTAGAGAATCTTGAGGTTACAGACCAAATCAATTGTAGTCAAAGCACTCAAGCTAGGTCGATCAAATCCAGTGTAGATCCCACACTCACACCCATATTTGAATGTGGCCCATTGATAAGAGAAATATCATGTACTCATAAATTAAATTGTCAAATTTAAATTTTAAAACTAAATAATAATAAAAAAGGAACGAATAATGAAAAGGCTTGGTACAGAAGTTTAATTTATAATTTTAGCAAAGAAGGTCCATAGGAGTTGAAGCGGAAAGCTCAAAACTTGAAAAAGAAAAAGAAAGAAAGATCATGTGTACACTATTTCAAATGCAAAGTGGCATCTGCCATTTGACAAATCAAAAGAATGGTTACACATGAGAAAATTTAATGCACATTTTTTAAAATAAGGAGCCACTTGCCAAATTGGAAAAGAGGGAACATGAGCAGCATTTTAAGCACAACATTTGCAACTTGCCAACTTGGAGAAAGGTTGTGATGAGCACTAATTTGAAAAAAGCCGATTGCAACTTGCAACTTACCAAAATTTGAGATACGCCATGATCAATTATTCTCCTAACACAAGAAAAGTTACTACATACTTGAGCTAGTACAACTAAAAGAAATATTTATGACCATTAAATAAGAAAATAGAAAGAAATATTCAAGTGAATAATTCTCCCTATTTAATTAAAAGGCAGGAACTAGAATAATTTTTTAAACATTGAATTACTAAAGTAACTGAGGAAAAAGACTTCTGAAGAAGGAGAAATTTCAACTGTATTTGCTACCTTCTGCTCCTCTGATGCAATTTGGTTCTTTTCTTTGGGCATAGTGCTTATAAGCCTCCAGCTTCATGTTCTTTACATTGCCAATTTGCTAACTATTTGGATAGGGTTCCAGTTATTATTTAATTTACATCTAATAAGAGATAGTAGCTGTCGATTTGTAACTTGTTGGTTAGGTTTTAGGAGATTGCTGGCCTTGTACACAGCCAATAATCATCTCATTACTATTCTTTCCAGTTTGTTGAACACCATAAGCTATTGCAAATGCTTTAGATTTGAAAAGTCGGGCAACAGAATCGAATATGCTGATTTCAGTCAGAGATATCAGTTGTATTTTGTTTGGTCATCAGCACTTAGGTAATATGTAATCCATGCTTAGGTATCTGAGATTTTTTCAGGTTATGCAATTGTGAAATGATAAACATCCTAAAATATCTGATAGATGATACCTCTGACCTGGATGATGTCGTTTCTTTTATTGAGGTTACCAATAAGATTAATAAAGGTTTAAATAAGAATTAGAGGGCTAATGGGCGAAAATGTTGCAGCCATTGAAGGATGGATTGTTTTAGTTACTGGAGTTAATGAAGAGGCACAAGAAGATGATCTTCATAATGAATTTGGTGAGTTCGGGGAGATCAAGAATTTGCATTTAAATCTGGATCGTCGTACTGGATTTGTCAAGGTAAACTGGTTGTTTTCTTTCTCGGAATGTGTAGCTGCTTCTTTGGGTTCTGGGTTTCATTTTCTGGGTGTTGCATGCATGATGTTATACGAATTGCACTTTTTTTTTTTTTGACAAAGTAAGAAAATTTCATAAAAGAAGCGCAAAATACGCTCGTATGCAATAAGTATACCAAAAAGTAGAAAACCTTAACAAAATATGGTTTTCTACGAGTGACATTCAATCTTCTATACATATAGGATGTTATACGAATTTCTTTCTGTAGATGCTTTAGTCTAATAAAATATTCCTATCTTGATGATGGCAATTTATTTGATCAAGAAGATTGTGTTAAAAATTATAAATGACCGACGTTCCTTGTTCCGTATAACTATGTAAGAACATTTCCTTGTTGAATTTTTGTAATGGCGGTAAATGGAAGAAAACAGAATCTGATGTTATCTTAATTTTGAGCGACTCCAGCTGGATACTTTCCTTTGTTTTTGGTTTAGTTTCTGCATTTTTCTTAAGTTTGGAGCAGTTATCATTTTAATTCATTTTTATAAAGGTTTCCAATTATACAGGGTTATGCACTTATTGAATATGAAAACTTTGAAGAAGCAGAGAGAGCTATCAATGAAGTGGATGGGAAAGAGCTGCTCACTCAGCCAATACATGTTGATTGGGCATTCAGCAAAGGTCCTTTTAGGAGGAGAAATGCTAGGAGGAGGTATCTTCTTGGTTAATCCAGTTTATGTTCTTTTGTGCAAGTTAGAGATGATTTATGGGGAAACTAGAATAGCTATGAAAATATGCTGCCTGAACCAAGTACAGACTTTTTCACTTTTACTCTGTTTTTTAAATGTTGGCAAATGTTTCCTGGCCACATATTTATTCTATTCCTAGGAAAAAATCAGGAGCTCACGGGTTCGAGTCATGGAAATCGCCTCTTGCAGAAATGCAGGGTAAGGCTGCGTACAATAGTACATTAGACCCTTGTGGTCCGGCCCTTCCCCGTACTCCGCGCATAGCGGGAACTTAGTGCACCGGGCTGCTCTTCTTTTAGGAAAAAATCAGCACCTTGGACTTCTATTATTTGCAAAGACTGAAAGTACCACTTTTTTAACACTTGCAGCTGCTTAAATGTTATGACCTAATTGTTATCTGGAGAAATTTGTTTTTTGGTCAAGTATTTTGCAAAAGAAAATGTGAATCAGGAAGGTGCAACAATAGCTTAACAGAATTTTCAACTCTGAGCTCAAAAAATCTGTAAAAATTTTCTATGCTATTTTTTCACCAAAAATGTAAGACATTAAACTTCCTAATACTGTATGTCATTTAACTGAGGAATAGCCTTCATCTTCACAAGTGTGGAATTGTCACTTGCCTCCCGCATACGCTTTTGTGTTAAAGAGATATCAATCCATTACGCTGGATCCCTTGATTCATCTGGATTTATGTGTGTGGATTGTGGAATCAAATGGCAGCCACCTATTACTAGGGTCTGGGCCTCCCCCCTTTTTTTATTGACAGTGGTGTCCGGGTCAGCTTACGAGTACATTGACTATTCCACTGGATACCTGCTACTTGACACTGTCCTATGAGCACAGGTGTCTGGTAACTCTGCCCATTTAGGCTAAGGCAAATTGAAAGAAATCACAGTTTTTTTGCCTCCGCTTATATTTGAACTTGAGATCTCATGGTTCTCCTCCCACTTCATTAACGACTAGGCCACACCCTTGGGTGCAATATTACTAGGCCTCCCTTATTACATCACAAGGGCTAACCCAGGGGGACCGGCTACCATCTTTTTGCTGACACCAATATTTTCTTAATTTTTGCTTCACCTGGTGTCTTGACTTTAATGTAGCTTTTTACCTCTATCACACCATTTCTCTGTGGAGATAATGGGCAATGTATACTTCAGTTGGCTCAAATTTTTTCTATTTTTTCCCCTGTTTTCTGACGGTAGGCTTTTAGTTGGCTGATTTGTTTCCTTTTACTGTTGATCTAGATTTGATTCAATCCAAGCTGAGGTCACCGAACTAGGTTTCCGATTGATCTTATTGGCAAAAATTGATAACTTATCCCTCTGTACCTAACTAGAAGTGCCAATCAGAACTTCTAGTAGGATTAGTTCAAAGGTTAAAACCAGTCCTCAATAGTCTTGCAACCCCTCCTCCCACCCCCACCCAATATATATATGTATATTTTTTTTTATCAGAACCACCAATAGAACAATTGCAAACTTATGTCAGATTTCTCATCCGGTTTATTCTTCAAGTTTGCTTTTGCAAAATACATATGATTGCTATGGCTGTATGAATATGTCAAGTGATGGAGAGGTTCTCTTAGCATTATGTTTAAAAGATGATTGTGTGAAGATTTATGCATTTGCCTCCCTCGCAAGGATAGGTGTCCGGAGCAGTTTGGGCACTTATTTAGCTTTTGGAGGGGTGGAAGGTGGTGGAATTGGTGGAAAGAAAAACACTAGGAATGTGTCTGGGAATGTGTCTGTGTGGGGTATAGGTTGTCGTTTATAGTCAAATAAAGGGTAACTTTACAGTTTTCATAGAACCTGACGTGTGTCGGAGATTTCTTCCTTGTTGGAAAAAAGAGTAGCTGGGGACTGTGACGTACTCACACATAACCTGAAGATAGGATTCTATGACAGCAATTTTGCAAGTAGAGTCGCACCTTTTCCAGGAAGTTTGTTAATCCTTGTTTATTTATTAAAATGAGCAGTATCTCCTTGGTACCTTGCAGTAGTATAGTTGTTTCCAATACATCCACCCAAAAAAGACTGGAGGATGTGTAACTGTCTTTATTATGCTCAAAATGTCAGGAATGTCTTAGTAAATGTTGAAGCTCAGACATATCAGTTCATGAGTAGCATCTCCATTCTGTTAGAAAAATAGGAGTTAGAGAAAAGTAATATAGTTAAGGAATTTTCTAGTCAGTCATGCCTTTTTGAGCTGGTACGAGACTACTGACTTACGAGACCGCCGCCTTTTGAGCATTTTTTATCCTCGTCTTTTGAGCATACGTCCCTTTTTATGAAATCTTATTCTTAATATACAACCTCATTTCTTTTTCTGAAATAGAAAATGAAATTCATATCTCACTGCAAATTCTGTCTTTGAATGTCCAGAACATCTGCAAGGTTTTTGGATTGAAGAACTATCGTCTAATATGTAGCTATCCTCATCTTTGCAGGTCGCCACGCAGTCATCGTTCTAGAAGTCCCAGGAGGAGATTGTAATGCAACGTCCCTCTTTTGCAAGGATTGTGTTGCTTCTTTGTTTAGTATTAGAAACCAAGCTCTGATAATTCCCAGTCTATGCTGGGTGATTCCATGTGTATCATTGTTGCTTTGCTGAGTTCTCATATCTATTTTCCTTAATTTTCTGTTTCCTTAACTCAACTCTAACTGAATGCTTTTCAAGCTTTTCCAGTGGTGTACACTTCCTGCTGGCGTTGTGAAAACTTAGGTTCTTCATTTTCCTTTTTGTTTTCCAAAATATTTAGAACTAGGGATGTTCATCGGTCGGTTTGGTTCAATTTTGAAAGATTTTGGTTTGGTATTTTTGGTTTGAGATCTTTAAAAACATTGCACCAATATCATACTAAAATAAATTTGGTATGCGTTGGTTTTCCACTTTCAGTTACAGTTTGTACTGTTGGATGTCTTCAATATTACTCTTTAAAATTTTATTGTATCAACGAAATATAGATATAAAGTAAATGTATGGAATATAATTTAGGTTAAAATGTGAAACTCAAGTCAAGAACAAATCATGTAAAATATGTTAATCCGTCCATCTACTTGCAATTATAAATGCAGTAAGTTTCAAGAAAATTAACTTTAAAATTTTACATTGGAAAAAAATATATTTAATTATTTTTTTAAAATTTAAGATAAGACTGCCATCACCTATGGGCCCTGCCCTCTACCTGGAAAGTAGTGAAATTCACCCCATGAGACTCTAATATCCTCATGTTGTGCGGTCTGTCCCTGCACCGATCGATGAAGTCTTGGGGATCCTCATGTCGCTCGCCTCCGAAGACAGGAGGGTGTAGCCTAGTCCATCTGTCCAATAGCTTTTGCGGCTCGCCATCCGCAGCTGGTCTAGGCTCAGGTGTAGCTGCTGCAACTGGCTGAGCTCCGCCCACGGATAGTGCACTCGGGGTCTGATATACGGCAGTTGCATGCCCTAAAGCCTGGGCAGTAGGGGTCTGTGCTCCCCCTCCCGCTTGAGATGTGGTTGGGTCCATTGGAAATAGACCAGCCTGAGTCATAGTGTCCATGAACCGCAGCAAACGGTCCATGACCTCCTGTAAGCCAGGTGCTGATATGAAATCTACCGGGGCTGGCTCCGCTGCGGGCACCTCGCCCTGCTCCTCAATGATAGGATCCTCCATTGGATCCGCTGGTGGTGCTACCGAGGCAGCCCTGGGATGCCCTCGTCCCCTACCTCGGGCCGTGCCCTCCCCTGGCCTCAGCCTCAGCCTCTAGCAACGGGGGGAGCAGCTCCTCCCGGGTCTAGAAAGTCCGCCGTACGCGTCCTCACCATCTGTGTGAGAATGAGAGAAAGGAACTTAGTATACCATCAACTGCACGATTGGAGATGAATAAAGAGTAGTTTCCTAACACCTTATAGCCTCTCGAAGATAAGTACGGACGTCTCCGCACCGATCCGCAAGACTCTACTAGGTTTGCCCATAACTTGTGAGACCTACATGGACCTAGTGCTCTGATGCCATGTTGTCACGACCCAACTCCATGTCAGGCCGTGATAGTGGCTAGCACCGTTGCTAGACAAGCCAACAGTGAACAACCTAGTGATTTCCCATTTCTTTTAACGAGTTTTCTCATATTGAAATTTTTTCGTAACTTAAAAGATTTAATAAGAAACAGATTTAAGTTAATAAATAAAAGCAGTTAGAAACATTTATAACCATAGGAATAGAACCTAAAAATCACTAGTCTACTGATGTGTGCCAAAATCTAGTGTCACAAGTATATGGGCAATTAGGAGAATATATAAAAGAGGTGTATCCTACTGCCTGAAATAAAATAGACAGCAACAAACAAAAGAGAGACTCCGGCATGCTGCTGAACGACTCAGAAAGGGGAACTTCACCGTGAAATCTCGAACCAGGATCAAGTATGCGCGTCGGACGGGTAACCAGATGTACCTGCCTCAGATCCTGTACAATTAAGTACAGAAGTTTAGTATGAGTACATAAACAACATGTACCCAGTAAGTATCCAGTCTAACCTCGAAGAAGTAGTGACGAGGGGTCGATTTTGACACTTACTATGGACTAACAATAATATATTAAAAATATCATACTAAGCATGAATTTTATGAATAATACTGAAAGCTCAATAATAGGAAATAATAAATTCTTCTTTCACAAATATTAATTCCAAGTTCAATTTTATTATTTAACAGCTTACATTTCAAAACATTTAAGAAATATCAATTATGGAGAGCTCCAAAGAATTATCATGCGCAAATTACGCCGAGGTCGTACGGCCCGATCCAACATAACATTTTAATTGTGCACTATCGAGGGTCGAACATCACGAACCATAGATGCATCTATCTGCTTACAGAGGCATTCGGCCCGTTCCACAAATAGCAAATATTTTTAAAGAAAACACATATTTCTCATTTACAGTCAAGTATTCCATTCAAACTTCAAGTAAGTGAATTTGACCTTTTACAATTCTTTTATCAGATTCCAACATGACTTAAGCAATTAAATTAGCAAGTAACGGCGCAAACATTTCAAATAAAGCATGATACGGGTCCTAAACTACCCAGACAATAGCATAATAGTAGCTACGTACGGATTCTTGTCACCTCGAACGTACGTAGCCCCCCACAAATAGGTACACACATTTATTTAATTTACCTATGGGGTTAATTTCCTCTTCCAAGGTTAGAAAGGAGACTTATCTCATCTCAAAGCCTACTTTCCGGTTCAAAAAGGTGCTCAAACCTCCAAATTTGGTGTCAAATGACTCGAAACTAGTCAAACATTACATAAATTAATCAATCTATGCTCAGAAGTTCATATCACCACTATTAAAGTGATTACCCAACCCAAAATGCAAAATTCCTAAAATTTACCCCTAGGGCCAAATGCCCGGATTCGGGAAATTTTTGAAGAAAGTTGTTATACATAACATCATGAACTCAAATATATGATTTTTACCAAATTTCATAACAAATTTCGTGGTTAAATCTCATTTTTATCAAAAACATAGGTTTTCATCTATACCCATGACTTTCACTAATTTACATGATAAAATCTACGCATAATCTAGGTATTAAACTCACATTAGGTAGAAATTACTTACCTTCAAGAGCTAGGTCAAAATCCCCTCCTTAAAAGCTCTCAAATCGCCCAACAATGGAAGAAAATGAGCCAAAACAGCCTAAGTCCCATTTTTAAAAGATGATTCTGCCCAGGGGTCCTTATACGTGATCATGCCCAAGACCTCGCGATGGCTAAACTAGAGGAGCCCAAAAAAAGACTCTACGAGATCGTGAGAATACCCACGCGAGCGCGAAGCACTGGTCGCCTACTCTTCGCGAACACGAGGCCCAGAACGCGAATGCGCAAGGCAATCAGGTGGCCCAGGCCTAGGCTTCCACGCGAATGCGATCTTCGCAACGCGAAGGACAAAGAGTCCAGGCCTCCATGAACGCGGCTTTGTTTATGCGAACGCGAAGGGAAAAATCCCATTCCCCCAAATCCTTCATCGCGAATACGAGGGTCCATCCGCGTTCGCGAAGAAGGAAACCAAAAGCAGAAATCTGGTATTTTTCAACTTAGTTCCGGGTGATCTGAAATGCACCCGAGCCCCTCGGGACCCCGTCCAACTATACCAGCAAGTCTGTAATCATAATACGGACCTGCTCAAATTCTCGAAATGCGTAAAACAACAACGAAATCAAGAATCATACCTCAAAACCAAATTGAATCGAACTTTGAACTTCAAGTTTCCTAATCGCTCCGAACGCACCAAATCATACTTAGACTACTCGGAATGACACCAAATTTTGCGTGCAAGTCCTAAATGACGTTACAGAACTATTCCCGATCTCGAAATCCCGTTTGAACTTCAATATCACCAAAACCCAATCCAAATCAAATTTAAAGAACTTCTGAAACCTTCAAGAACCAACTTTCACTATTAGGCGCCAAAACGCTCCCGGGTCATCTAACATCCGATCCGAACATAGGCCCAAGTCAGAAATCATCATACGAACCTATTGGAATAGTCAAATCCCGATTCCGAGGCCATTTACTCAAAATATTGACCGAAGTCAAACTTGGCCTTTTAAGCCAACCTTAAGGAACCAAGTGTTCCGATTTCAACCCGAACCCTTCCAAATCCTGAACTAATCATCCCCGCAAGTCATAAAACAGTAAAAGCACAAGCAGGAAGTCTTATTTAGGAAAACGGAGTTCTTGAAAATAAATCGACCAATCGGATCGTTACAAGAAATTAAGACGGAAAAAAGAAAAACAAACTTTTAACTCCAGAATATTGAGTGAGTGCAAGCTCCACGGGAGTGAGTGGGGAGAGTGCATAAATACCAAATATTAGTAGAAAAAACTACATGGCTGAGCCTATTTAAATGTTATTTTTTAAAAATGGTACTATTACTTTTGTTTATTTAAAAAATAGCAGATGTTTTTTACAACATTAGCACAGTGAAATTTATGCTCACAATTAATATGTACACAGCAAGCACATATCATGGAAATTTTTATTCTTATTTATCTTTTCATAGTCTCTCTCCTCATATTTATTAAACGTGAATGGGCTGTTTTAAACCACAACCCACAAATCAAGGGATTAATTTTGTTCCATTCGATCTATTAATCTTGAGAAAACTTCATTTATAGCCCATCGGGCAAAACAAATTTCAACCGGTAGCCCACAAATTGACCCATACAAGTCATAGGCTAAAAATAATGACAAGTGCTAGCCGGAAACTTCACTGATCGAATGAAGCCGCCGGCAATCGAACGAAGTTTTTCTCGCGGCAAGGACTCTAAATCAATACGATACCATTCATCCTCACGAGCTACACTCTAAAATTAGATCACTCATTTAGCCTCGAATGTTGACATTGAAATTGAAACACCGCTGCTGTCTGCTGATGGCTTTGGCTATTGCTCCCCTCCTCTGATTTTTGGGTCAAGGGTTTCGTATTGTTGCTTATTAGGAATCGCTACGGAGTATTTATATTAGTACCTACTTCTGCTACCGCTTTTCCTAAAATACTTTTTATTTTTTCTGCGATCCTAAAATACTTCTGCTGTGTATTTTAGCTTTACCTTATAAAAATGGAGAAAGAAAATGTGTCCTTGGTCCAGTTGAGAAGGGAGCCCGAGTTTTAAGTATTCTTCGTGATATATTCCTTGCAAATGTTATTGTACATCAACATATTTCAGTAGCAGCAACCTATAGGGAAGAAGAGGAAAGCGAGAGGAGCAGTGTGTAGCATAAGGCAACGAGAGAGACAGCCTTGTCTTCTTTCTATGATTTTCTCTT